TTTTTAAATTTGAAGGAAACTTTTGCTGTTTTTATTTTCCCCCAAAATGAGCTGGCATTTTAAGAATTAATACTGGTAACATACTTCTAAATTAACAGTAATTGGCATGTTAAATTAATAATGAATCATATTTTACAACTGTGGACTCATAGACAGGAGTGGGAAGCAATAGTGGAAATTCCTGACTTATTGAGGAAGCACTTCAGTTTTCTCTGGCATAGTTCAAAGATGAATGTTTCTGGGAATGTTTTTAATGCTTTTTTTTTTTTTTTAAAGAGCAAAATGTACATTTGAATGTGGTTATCTACTTTCTACAACACTGGATTACTAGAAATAATTTTTTAAAAAATCAGTCTTCTATCTAAATAAACTATTTGAAATTCAAGTACAAAAACATCTGAAATAAAAAGCACTGTCTTGGCCATGACACAAGTGCACTGTGACGGTGCCATTTGCTCAGGACTCAACTCTGCAGCCCTTATCTGTGCACCTGTTTTGAGTCTTTTGCTGTTAGTACACACCCAGGCATTCCTGTCTGGTCTTTAGCAAAGCCGGGCTTCCAAATCACTGTTGAACACAGGATTCTGTTGTTAATGTGGATGTTCTACAACTGTATTTTAAATATCAAAGATTATTAAATAAAGGTAATGTTTGCTTTTTTATTTGTTTTTGTGTTTATTGTTAACTCATAGCCTTGCTATTTAATGTTTGGTTGGAGGACCAGCAATGGCTGTATCACCTCAAGAACTTCATAAATGCAGTGTTTCAGGCCACACTCCGACCTCCTGAGAGCCTCTTTTTAACAGGATCCCTGGGGATTCCAGTGCAGAGTGAGGTTGGAGAAGCATTATTTTACAGACTGGTGATGACTATATCAGGCCTGGGGAGGCCCACCGACACTTCCAGCTAACTGCTGCCAAAAGGCCCATCATTACTAGAGCCTCAGATCTTTTCTCAGAAGCTAAGCATCCCACGTTTTTATTTGAAATTAAGTTTTGAATGTTGGCTCAATTATTTTTAACTCAGGGCCAAACCACATGATTATTTTTAAGAGTGCTGGTTTTCTCTTATTTTATCCAACTCTGGACACTAGAATCTAATAATTAGACTCCACCTGGACAGATAGGATCCTGGAATTATGAGTTTGTATATCTATTTTAGCCTTAATTAGGGTTGGGCACAAACTTCAAAAAATTTTTTCAAATAGATTATCTCATCTTTTTAACAATAGCTTGGTGCTTAGAAGGACCAATTCATTGAATTTGGATGCCACCAAATGAGTGATCTCATCAACACTCACCTGTGGGCCTTGTGAAACATGTTGATTTGAATGCCTATTTCATGTTTTCTTTAAAAAAATTATATATATATATTATTTTTTTAAATTGATTTCAGAGAGTCAGGGGGAGAGAGAGAAACATCAGTGATGAGAATTACTGATTGGCTGCCTCCTGCACACCTCACACTGGGGATTGAGTCCAAAACCTGGGTATGTGTCCTGACCAGGAGTCAAATCATGATCTAGTTCGTAGGTTGATGCTCAATCACTGAACCACACTGGCTGGGCCTTATTTCATATTTTATAAAAACATCTTTTATTAAAGGGAATTTTGGGGTCATCCTTACCCTGAAGATTTGCATATTTAAGACCCTTTTAACCATTTAAAAAAAATTATCTGTATTGTTGGAAGTATTACAGGTGTCCTCCATATCTTCCCCATCTTTTAACTATTTGTTATCACCAAATGCTCAAAATTCATGAGTCCAGATGACTTCAGCTTGTCCTTTTGACATTCCCCCTTGACTCACTGTAGTCCCACTTCAGTCCTAGCAGAAGGCTGAAGAAGCTAGTGGGCGTTACAGATCTTCAGATAAACCCGGGCCTTTCCCAGCTGCAGGCACGCTGGAACACTCCTTGTTTCCTTTCCTTTGCACCCTTTGAGTTCTTGCTCCTCTAGTTCATTTGCCATCTGCTCCAAGGACTCTTTCAGCTGGACTACCACTGTGCTGCGCCCTCTTCTCTCCCAGGATCGTTCCAGTTCTCCCGGTGTTTGGAACCCCAGCCACCCTTTGCCTCATAGGCTGCTAGAGAGAAGTGATTCCTGTCATTCATTCAAAACATTTGAGCGCTTGTCTGTGCTAGATAGGGTTCTGGAAGCTAAGAAACAGCTATGAATATAACATGTCTGCTCTCATGGGCTTGTAGTCTAGCTGGTTGATAAGTAGAGGGACCACTTAAATTAATGAACTTGACTTTATAACATGTTAAGAATTGCTTGTTCTGTGAGGGGAAGACAAACAGGATGATATAATAGAATGTGAATGGGAAGGAGGACTGCTTACGAGTGGGTTCAAGAAAAGCACTGTAGAGGTGACATTCAGACAAACACCAAAAGTGATGGAACATCCATGCAAAGGTGTGTTGTCACCAGACCTGCTTAAGGACACAGCAAGCATGGTGGCCCTGAGGTGAGCGGTGGCTGCTCATTCCTAACGAGCAGAGAGAAGGCTGAAAAAGATAGTAGGTAGTGGACAAGAGAGAAAATTGGGATGACCTTGATTTTGCGAAGGCAAAATCTTAACATGTACGGTTTCATAAATAAAGGTATGAATTCTATTTTATTACACCAAGCACTTTGGCTCCACTTTCTAGAATATTCCCAAGCCTTTATTTTTATTTTTTAAAAATCGCTCTAGCTGGTTTGGCTCAGTGGATAGTGTCGGCCTGCGGACTGAATGGTCCCGGGTTCGATTTCTGACCAAGGGCACATGCCTGGGCTGCAGGCTCAGTCCTTAGTGGGGTGCATGCAGGAGACAGCCGGTCAATGATTCTCATCAATGATGTTTCTATTGCCCTCTTCCTCTCTCTCTCTGAAATCAATAAAAATGTATTTTAAAAAAACCTTTTATGAGGCTCATCAACTACATCCACCAAAGAGCATGCCAGTGTTCTGGCTGAATGTTTAACACTAAGGATACCATTTAACCAATTGCAGATTAAATTTTAGTCAAGACTCATTACCCACTTGTGCATTTTGTTTTTCTTCCTCTTGATTCTATGCAATTATTTCCATCACTATCAGATGACTATAGTTCAGATTTGAAACCTTAGTATCATATTTAGTTGTTAAATCACATCCTCCAACTATAGTGGCTAACATCTGGAGCTCCCATTTATTCCCTTTCTGTCTTTCTCAATCATTTCTGGTTCAGAACATCGTATCATCTGCAGTAACAGCTGTTCATTTCGTCTTCAGCCTCTTTTCTTTTTAAAAATTGATTTCAGAGAGGGAAGTGAGGGAGAGACAGAAACATCTATGAATCATTGATCAGCTGCCTTCTGCATGTCCTCTACTTGGGGAATCTGCTGAAACCTGGGCATGTGCCCTGACTGGGAATTGAACCCTAACCTCCTGGTTCATTGGTCGAGGCTAGACCACTGAAGCACGTCGGAGGGGCCAGCTTCTCTGATTTTGAGACCAGCCTTCCTAAAGCTGGTTAGTCCCATCACTCCAATTACCTTTAAGTGAATCTCCATACTGTCAACATGTCATTGCAGGTTTAATTTCCGTAAACACTGGAAAGGATGATGCCAAATTATCATTTGCTGAAATGATTGTATGCCTAGACAACCCAAGGAAATTAACTGAAATGCTACAGAGCTAATAAGGGGTGTGTGTGTGTGTGTGTGCGCGTCATTTTACAAATGAGAAACCCATGAGTTAACGAGGGAAAGAACCAGGCAGTCAGCCCCACGGTCTGCACATCTAACCGGCGGGCAGATGCTTACGGTAATAAACATTTCCAGAACGAGACGCAGGTGTCCTTTTATTTTTATTTTTTAAAATATATTTTATTGATTTTTTTTTACAGAGAGAAGGAAAGAGAGATAGAGAGCTAGAAACGTCGATGAGAGAGAAACATCGACCAGCCGCCTCTTGCACACCCCCCACCGGGGATGTGCCCGCAACCAATGTACATGCCCTTGACCAGAATCGAACCCGGGACCTTTCAGTCCGCAGACCGACGCTCTACCACTGAGCCAAACCGGTTTCGGCCGCAGGTGTCCTTTTAACACCATTCCGATTTCAGGGAGAGCTTGCCTGGCGCCCTCCGATTCCCACTAGAGACGACATCGCCATGCTCCATCCACAAATAGTGCCACCTGCTCCTGTAGCCCCTCCTGACAGGCCGTGTCACCATCGGTACAGTAACCTGTGATCATCAAGCCTCTTCCTGCGCAGCGGAGCGACTCCGCCAAGCCTCCTGGCACCAATGCCTACGCGGGAGTCAGAATAAAAACACTGGGGCTCCACCATCACAAGGGAGTCCACGGGGTTCCGGGCCACGTGGGCTTCGGGGGCGCCCCCGGCGAGGGCGGGCTCTGCCTGACAACACACCTTCCGCCCGCCGGCCGCGCCGCGCCGCCCGGGTTCCTGCGGTGTCCACCTGGCCGGAGCTCCACCTGGCGCTCCGCGGCGGGCGGCGGCCCCAGCCGCCCTCGCTCGGTCTTCCGCGTTCCCACGCTCCCTTGCGCTAAGGACACGTCCGCCCGTCGCGCAGGGCCCTTCTAGGCCGCCGTGGCGCCTCTCTATGATCCGTCGCCGCGTTGCGAGGGGATGTCATGGCGGCCGGCGTCGAGTTGGCAGGATTTGCTCACAGAACCGGGGGAAGGCACTGAAGCAGAGGAAGAGGTGGCCCAGCTGGACGGCGGGAAGTCGCGGGCATGAGCCGAGGCCCCGCGGGGGTGGCCGTGTGACCGGAGGCGGGCCCCCGAGATAGTCCCAGGCCGGGCCTCCGCGTTTCTATGCGGAACGGGACGTCGGCGGGGGAGCCCCCGAAGAAGCCCGCGTTGCCTAGGAACCCCGCCCCGTGTCCTCGGCTCCTGAGGGCGTAGAGTTTGGAGCGAAGGCAGCCGCCAGAGGACATTTGGCGGGGTCGTCCGACGGCGCCGGGCGCGTTTTCCCGGAGCGGAGCGGGGCGTTGTCCAACCCGCGGCGATGTCGTCCTGGCTGGGGGGCCTGGGCTCCGGCCTGGGCCAGTCGCTGGGGCAGGTCGGGGGCAGCCTGGCTTCCCTCACTGGCCAGATTTCAAACTTTACGAAGGATATGCTGATGGAGGGCGCGGAGGAAGTGGAAGGTAACAGCTGGGGCGCGGGGGAGGGCTTTCCCGGGACCCGGGAGCGTCCGTTTGGTCCCCGCGCCCGTCTGTCAGGAGACGTGGCCGGGCCGCCGGGGAGTCACTCCGCCCCTTTTTTTCTTTCCGCTCCTTTCGCCTCTTCTGGACCGGGTTTTCCTCCTCTGTCGTTGGGGGAAAGAATGGGGGTTCTCCTCCCCTCACATGTTGGGTTTCCCCGAGCGGAGCGGCCCTGCTCCTCGGCGGAGTAGTTTATTTTTGTTGGGTTCGAACACGCCCACCGCTGACTTTGTCCTCCGCTTGGGGGCGGAACTGATTTTGATACTTTTCCTTTATACTGGACATTTTCAAAAAAAAAAATGATTTGTGTACGACACAGTCACTTTTATTTCCTTTGATTGATGTAACAATAGCAGTAACTCATAAAGTATTTAGTATCGCTCACCCTTGTCCGATTTGAATATATTGTTAGTGAAACACAGCTATGTTTTTCCTATTCGTTATCTTACATTTTTGCCTGTTCTGGTGACAGCGTTCCAACTGAAAATGTGTTTTCTCTGCCCAATCGCCCAGTAGAACAAGGGAGATATTCTATTTTTTGTGGGTATCCTTAGCAACCTTCACTCATTTTTGAAGTCCTCATTTTATGTTACTAATGAACAGTGACTCGGAGTTGCTTGGTGTTCGATGGCTAATTACTGTTTTTGATTTCTTGATATTTCTTTCAACAAGTAGTATTTAGATCAAAAGAGGTGTCGGTGTGTTGTTTTTTCTAGGACCATTCTAAATGGGTTTATTAAAAAGACTGTTTACAGAGGTATAGAGAGGGTGTACCAAGCGGTGTCACCACCCCCAAGAGGGGAGGGACTCAAAAAGAGTTCTTTAATCTCTTTTTTTTTATTATTGATTTTTTACAGAGAGGAATAGAGAGCTAGAAACATCGATCAGCTGCCTCCTGCACACCCCCCACCAGGGATGTGCCCCGAAACCAAGGCACATGCCCCTGACGGGAATCGAACCTGTGACCCTTCAGTCCGCAGGCCGAAGCTCCATCCACTGAGCCAAATCGGTTAGGGCAGAGTTCTTTAATCTTAACCTAGGTCTGCCTCCAGACCTAAGATGAGAGCAGTTCCTTTGGCATTTTTATTTTTTCATACATTAATACATTTAGCATTCTGGGTTAATTTTTAAAATCTTGTTTGACCTGAACCTTCATGTTTATTTGGCTGAAGGAAAGTTAGTTTGATAAAAAGATAGTACTTATATTTAGTATTTAGAGGGGAGGAAAATTAATCTGTTTTACTGCTTGGGGTATCCCTGGGGTGGGAGCTACATCAGGTGGGGCAGGTTGGGATTGGGCGTGAAAGGGATTCTTCCTGTGTGGGGGAAGGAAAGGGTCATTAAGATAAGTCAGAAGCAGAGATGGGCCTCCTGACATGGGGAGTGACTACTCTCTCCTTGAATACTACATAGGGGAAGACAGTTGGCAATTTCTTTGACCCTAAATCAGAAAATATGCGAACCCCCAACCTGGATGTCCTGCAGGCTTAAGGTGGAATTTTGTTCTTCCCACCAAATATGCTCCTATAGTCTCAGTCTTAATGGTTTCACCATCCACCCATTCTAGAATAGAAATGTTTGTCATCTTTGCTTTGCCTCTTTTTCATCTTCTGATTGGTCACTAAATCTTGGTCATCCTGTGCCAGAATTGTTTCTTAAATCTGTCCTTTCCTTAATTACTATTTCTTTAACTCATACCCCATTCTTTCTCCCCTGTACTTTTCTCTTTCACATCCTGTCATCCATTTCTCCCTGTTCCACTCCATTTTCTGTTGTGCAGCCAGTTACTCTTCTAAAAACAAATGTGCTTTAAAATCTCTTGGCCCTATTACTTCTTTGATAAAATCCAAATCTCTTAATTTTGGGAGTCCAGAAACCTATCCTATCTGGGTTCAACCTACCTTTCCCAGTCTTACCTCTTGTTCTCTCCCCTTCTCTTCCAATTGTCAAACATATGCACATTCACATACACATACACATTTGTGCTTGCATCCAGAGCTTATGCCACATGGAATTTTGTGTGCCTATACAACTTCAAGCCTCTGCATGGTAAGTCCTTCCTTTTCTATTTCCTCCTCTGTCCTCCTTTTCCTGGAAAACAGTTTTTCCTGTATGGCCCTGCTCACATGCCAGGTACTTAGTGAAACTATTCTCACTCCACGACAGGTTGAATTGATTGCAGGCGATCCGTATTCTATCAGAACTTTGTGGATCTCTGACAGCACTTACCACATTGAGTTATAATTTATCTCTTTTCTTGATGCCCTGGGTAAGGACTGCATTTTATTTATCCTTATGTGGCATCTTCCCTGGTACATAGTGGAAGTGATTAAAAACCTTCAAAGTTGCTCAGTAATTAAAAATCTTCAAAGTTGCTTAGTTCTTTTGTTATCCTTTGTATTAAAATAGGACGTGCTTAACACCTAGTTACTGGTTTTATAAATCATTTAAAAATCGGGTCAGAGTCCACTTCATTATTCATGCAACAAGTATTTATTGATTGTGTATCCTGTGTCAGCAGTGAACAAGATAATAGTTTTGAAATAGTACTGTTGGTACAGCTTGAGAATCATCCATGTTTACAGTATCAGAAAGTTGCTATTCCGCCAAGCAAACACTGTACTGATTTATTCAAGGTTAGGAGCTTGGGCTATTAAGTCAAACATGGGTTGAAATTCTCCTTCCATATATTAAAAATTGTGGGATCTTTGGCAAATTATTAAGTACTTAGTCTCTAAAAAGCAGAGTCTCCTTAGCTGTTAAATAGGGATAATCATACTTATCATGAGGTTGGGAGGATTAAATGACGTCATGAGTATAAAACACCTAGCACTGTGCCTAGAGAATAGTAAGCATTACTAAATGGTAGCTATTGTTCTTGTTTTCCCTCTCTGAGGAATAATTTTTTGTCTGTATTACATCTTCCCTTTATTCTTTAAAAGGCTAATATTTTTATTTTTGGGGGGAGAAGAGTATGGAGGACGGTCTTCATTAACTTTTTGTTTTATCCCTCTTTGAAACATTTGTGGTCTATAATCACCTTCCTAAACAGATTAGATTATAATTTGTTCTCTTCTGAGTAGCAATTAGACAGTCCTGTCAGAGTTTTAAGCATAATGTATAAACAACCACAGAAGCAACTGCACCTGGTGATTTTCAAAACAAGAAGAGTGGGTTTGTCACTTTTACTGTACGCCACTTGTATTTTCTTCTAATTTAAACTGTAATTCAGAGAACTTATTTTTATAGAATTAAAGTACTATGAGTAAAGGAAAACACTAGTATGTAGGAAAAACCTGACTGTGCATGATAGTTTTCTGGTCGCATGAATGGTGCTTTGCCACTACTGGCCTCTGATTCTTTTCTTATATGAAAACGTGTGAACCTAGACTAAGCTATTCCTATTAAACAAAACAATTTTTTAATTGATTTCAGAGAGAGGAAGGGAGAGGGAGATAGAGATAGAAACATCAGTGAAGAGAGAGAATCATCATTCAGTTCCCTCCTGCAAGCCCCCTATTGGGGAGTGAGCCCACAACCCAGGCATGTGCCTTGACAGGGTTCTAACAATGACCTCCTGGTTCATAGATCAAGGCTCATGCACTGAGCAACACTAGCTTGGCGGAGCTATTCCTATTTTAAATAAATCGTGTCTATGTTATTTGAAGTAAGTGTTCTTTTAGCACATTTTCATTCTTTGTTTATAGGTCATTAGTTATTTGATAGTAGTGGAAGAAGTAAGACATAAGGCCTTAAAACCCAGTTGTATAAATTTCATTTAAATACAGATTTCATTTGTAAAACTTAATTTTCCAAATTTTAATGAACACTTCCAAGGGATAAAGGTAGATATCCTAGGGTGTATAAGATATGCAAAAAATAATGACTTCTCTGACAATAAAGAACACTTGTAGCAGTAGGAAGTAGTGATAACATCAAGTGATATTTATCTTATGAATAGATTCTAGGATCAGCATACCATTCTGTTTAAAGCTCAGTACAGTATATTTCCCTTACAATGCCTGTTTATTAGTTTATATGTTGTTGATCGTATATTCAGTATGTGCTGTTTCTTTTATAGCAGAATTGCCTAATTCTAGGAGAAAGGAAATTGAAGCCATTCATGCAATCTTAAGATCAGAGGTAAGGAAAATTAAAGACCACTGTTGAACTTAGATTTTTCTTTTTCAAAGTCATGAAAGTTATTCATGTTTTATTTTTGTCCTCTTTTTTTAATACACTGTTTGCCACTTTTTTCTTTTTCTTTTTCTTTTTTTTGTCTATTGCTCTTTAAGTTTTTTAAAGCATTATCAACTTTCTTTAGGTGAAGACTATATTTATATGTTACTGCATTTTGCTATGTAATGTTTCCATCTCAACTTCTCCATGCTAGGAGTAGGAAAACTGCTAAATATAGAAATAATAATAGTAACAATTTATCATTGTCAAGGACTTACTATGTTCTGAGTGTGCTAAATTAAATTGCACACTTAAAAAAGTATAATATTGGTATACAGAAAAATTAGTAATATAGGTATAGCAAATTACTTTTATCTTCTTTTTCATTATTAGTTCATGCCTTGTGATGTTTAACTCTGGACATTTTGCATACTTAATAGTGATGAGGAAACTTGGAAAGGATTCAAAGGAAAACCACAAAGAACATGAAAGGATTTAAAAAATATATTTTTATTGATTTTAGAGAGGAAGAGAGAGGGAGAGAAAGAAACATCATTGATGAAAGAGAATCATTGAGTGGCTGCCTCCTGTACACACCCTGCTGGGGATTGAGCCCACAACCCAGGCATGTGCCCTTGACTAGAATCGAATCTGGGACCCTTCAGTCCGTAGGCTGATGCTCTATTCACTGAGCCAAACCAGCTAGGGCGAACATGAAAGGATTTAAAGTGAGATCTGTTATAAAGTATGAGACATTCAGTGATTTAATCCAAAAATAAGAGCAGTGAGGGAACACAATAGTATTTTAGGAAAAGACATTCTTAGGGCTGTAACAAACATGTTTTCCTGTTCCTTAAGCTCATAAAAAAAAGAAATTAAATTTGAAAAAATTTACTTACAGCAAGCATTTTTGAGTTTTGGTCAAGATTACCAAAATGAGATTATGGAATTTGAAATTGAGGACCTCTCAAGAGGACTTCCAGTAGTATTCTGCCCCCGTAGAAGATGGCAGGTTGGTGGCACATTAGAGATGCTATCAGTAATCTTCCTATATAATAAAGAGGTAATACACAAATTAACCCTCACGCCTTCACAAGATGGCTGCCTAACATCAGGCCGATAGGGGGGTTAGTGAGGGACTGAGCAGGCTGTGTGGGGTGACCAAACCGAGAGGGGGGTTAGTGAGGGACGACCAAACAACTGAACAAACAGGCTGTGTGGGGTGGCCAGGCCACAGTGAGGGACAACCAAATGACTGAACAGGCTGCATGGGGCGACCAGGCTGGCGAGGGGGAGTGTTGGGGGCAACCAGGCCTGCTGTGGGGGGCAGTTAGGAGTGACTATGCTGGCAGGGGGGATGCAGTTAGGGGCGACCAGGCAGGGAGGCAGGTGAGTGATTAGGAGCTAGCAGTCTAGGATTGTGAGAGGGATGTTTGATATCTCCCAGGAGTCCCGGATTGGAGAGGATGCAGGTCAAACACACCCTGGAGCCCTCCCACAGTCACTCCTTGGCTGGCCAACTTCTTATATTTCTCCCTGGCCCCAGTTGTGCACTGGTGGGGTCCCTCAGCCTGGCCTGTGCCCTCTTGCAATCCAGGGCCCCTCGATGGATGTCAGAGTGCCAGTTTCTGCCAGATCCCACAAGGGGAGTGCCGCTCAGCCAGAAGTCAACTCATGGCTGACCAGTACAACGGCAGTGGCAGAGCCTCTCCTGCCTCTCTGGTAGTGCTAAGGATGTCCGACTAATGCTTTGTCAGACATCCCCCAAGGGCTCCCAGACTGAGAGAGGGTGCACACCGGACTAAGGTAACCCCCACTCCCCTTCGAGTGCACAAATTTCTTGCACTGGGTCTCTGGTTACTTAATAAGTAGATGCTTTTATGACAGGTGAACTTAATAGCTGCTTTTTTGTAAGACTGAGGTAGAGCCGAAACCAGTTTGGCTCAGTGGGTAGAGCGTCGGTCTGTGGACTGAAAGGTCCTGGGTTCGATTCCGGTCAAGGGCATGTACATTGGTTGCAGGCACATCATCCTCTAGGGGAGGGGGATGTGCAGGAGGCAGCTGGTCGATGTTTCTAGCTCTCTATCCTTCTCTGTAAAAAATATGTATTTTTAAAAAAGACTGAAATAAAAAATTGTTCCTGTAGTCCCTAGATAGACCTTTAGTACAGACCCACCCAGAAAAATTATACGCCATTTGTGTGTACTAGCATTAATTTTGGTAAATTCGCCATTGTACATCTTTGGGGGAAATAGTAAATAGGGTTTTAACCAGCTTAATGGATGTCTGCTCTGTATAGAGCTTGAGAAGGGAGATAGAAAGAAACCTTCCATCCCTCATTAATCTCAGTTCTAATCTCTCACAGCATTACCATTGGGCTACAAGGCAAATATGATTCTAGTGTTTAGAAATACATATTTTTAGTATGACACATCCCCACATGAAAACCCACTTCCTTATTTGATGCTTATTCAAAGTAACGTGAGCTACTCAAGTACTAGAGGAAAACATACTGTTGGGCTTCCCAAGGGCTTTGTTTTCCAAGGTGGTTTTAAATGTACAGGATTCTTGCCTTATGTCAGCACATAAGCATTTCACACCCTAAATCCTGTGTGACTGTGCAATGAAAGAATAAGGTGAAGATATGATTGAAGCCATCAGGAAACTTACAATATCAAGTTCTATTTGGAAACTTTTAGTTTAGACAGAGGCCAGTGTTTTTTCCAGAGGAAATTAGACTTCCGTACAGATGTTAGTATTTGAAGGTGACTGAATTAGCTGGGTTTCTTTAGTTGCAAGTAACCACAGCCAATCTAAGCAAATTTAACCCTCTATACCAAGAAAAAATAGTTATTACATATACCATCTGGATCCAATGGGCTCTTTTAATTGTTTTAATATTAAATCATTTTACATGTAATTTACAGAAGAATGAAATCACAGTGAAAAACTTTATTAAATATTTTAATAAGCGCTTATATAGCAAATCCAAAATTCTATTCTATATGTATCTGGTTTTAAAAACATATATTCAAAATAGGCAGTGTTCTTTGAATGCAATTTACTGCTTATTAATTTTTACGCATGAACTGGAATGTTATCTTGTAAATACTGATTCTAGATTCACTTATATTTCTAATAGATATTTGCTTATTTATTTAACTTCTGTTTCTTTTTCTTTATTTGTGTCACTAAACCTAATACTTCTGATGGTTCTTGATTTTGTTGCAGAAATAGTGGCTTGTCATCTTTGCCCCATAATTGCAAAACATTTTTATTCTTATTTATAAACGCCAATTTAAACGATCAATCCTCTGATTTTTTTTTGTCATCTGTTTCCTCCCAGTCATCTGCCTTCAGCATTTACCTCTATATGAACTATATCAAGTAAATGTTCAAATGTTCATAATGAAAGAATACTGTCACATATCCATTTAGCACAATGGGATGTTCAAGTTCTTGTAAAAAAATATCGTGAGCCCTAACCGGTTTGGCACAGTGTTGGACTGCGGACTGAAAGGTCCCAGGTTCAATTCCGGTCAAGGGCATGTACCTTGGTTGTGGGCACATCCCCAGTAGGAGGTGTGCAGGAGACAGCTGATTGATGTTTCTCTCCCGTTGATGTTTCTAACTATTACTCTCCCTTCTTCTCTGTAAAAAATCAATAAAAAATATTTAATAAAATGTTGTGAAAAAATATTTTCTTATTTGAATGACTAACTTGATGTGAATACTGTATTTCCATTTTATTCTTAGGAATGCATTGTTGAGTCATTAGTTCTTGAGTTTGAGAAAATTTACCTAGGATATTGTTATTTGAAGACTTGTCTGAGATTTTGTTTCTATACTTAGTTTCACCATAACTGTTAGACTCTAGAATGCTGTTTTCTATCTCTTTGCATTTGTCTTCTTAGTTGTGTAATAAGTATTTAGTATTTTTTGTTTTCTTCTCTTAAAAAATGAAAATTCTGAATTTTCAACTGTGTTCAATGAAAACAAAACAAAACAAAAAAGCTACAAAGATGATATCTCCAGATTTTATCTTTTTAAAAGATGATGTAATACATTGGGCAACACAGTCAGAAAACTGGTTATTTCATTACTGCATCATTCTTTTAGATGATTCCGCTAGTCTTTTATTTTCTTATTATTTAAACTAGAAGCCCGATGCACAAAAATTTGTGCAAGAACCGACCTTCCTTTCCCTTGCTGCTGGCACCACCTTTTAGCTCTGGCCACACCTGCTTATGCTGCCTGGAGGCCCTGAGCGGCTGGGGTGGTGCTGAATGCCTATGCCCTGCCCCACCCCCAGCCACTCGGCGCCTGCATATGCAAATCAATTCACCATATTTATTGGGTTAATTTGCATACTGACTCCTGATTGGCTAGTGGGCGTCACAAAGGTACAGTAAATTTGCATCTTTCTCTTTGTTAGTGTAGATTGTTTTTAGCATAATGGGGGATAATTGATGAAAATAATTCTTAGGATGATAAAATAGCAAAATGTTTTAAGATATGGAAAACAAGATCATTATGATCCCATGATTATTCTTGGACTTATAAAAGGGCCCATGTATCCTGTGGTACTTACAAGATAGAATGAGTTTTATTCTGTTAAAAAATATATTTTCTCTTTATTTATTGGAAAACCTCGATAAAAGAAGAAAAGATAAGAATATCAGTTATTTATTTATTTTTTTTAATCCTCATCTGAGGATTTTTTCCATTGATTTCTAGACAGAGTGGAAGGAAGGGAGGAGGGAGAGAGACAGAGGAACATTGATGTGAGAAAGACACATGGATTGATTGTCTCCTGCAGGTGTCCTGACCAGGCTAGGGAACCTGCAGCCAAGGTGTGTGCCAGCAGTTGAACCTGTGACACTTGCATCAGTGGGCCAACACTCTAACCACTGAGAAAACTGGCCAGGGCATGAATCTCAATCTTTTTTGATAGTTAGAACTACTCAAAAATGAAACTCATAGGCTAAAATTGGTTTCAGGAGACCTTGATGGTATAATACGGATTAAGCAGAATGGAATAATCCTATATAATAAAGAGGTAATATGCAAATTGACCCTCACAAGATGGCTGCCTATGACCAAACCGGCAGGGGGGTTAGTGATGGACGACCAAACGACTGAAATGACTGAACAAGCAGGCTGCGTGGGGCAAACAAGCCAGCAGTGGGGTTAGTGAGGGATGACCAAATGACTGAACAGCAGGCTGTGTAGAGTGACCGGGCTGGCAGGGGGGGCAGTTAGGAGTGACCAGGCCAGCAGAGAGGGGCAGTTGGCAGTGACCAGACCGGCAGGGAGTCAGTCAGAGGCGACCAGGTCAGCTGGGGGGACAGTTAAGGGTGACCAGGCCAGCGGGGGGGTAAAGTTGGGGTTGACCAGGCTGGCAAGGGGGTGAGTTGGGAGCAACCAGGCTTGTAGAGGGGGCAGTAAGAGGTAACCAGGCTGGCAGGGGGTGGAAGTTAGGAGTGGCCAGGCTGGCAGGGATGGGACAGTGGGGGCTACCTGGCCGGCAGGTGGGGGCAGTTAGGGGCAACCAGGCATGCAGGCAGGTGAGAGATTAGGAGCCAGCAGTCCAGGATTGTGAGAGGGATGTCTAACTGCTGGTTTAGGCCCAATTAGTAGCCAGCAGTCTAGGATTATGAGAGAGATGTCCAACAGCTGGTTTAGGACAACCCCCAAAGAGTCCTGGATTGGAGAGGGTGCAGGCTGGGCTGAGTGCCCCCCTATGCACAAATTTTGTGCACCGGGCCTCTAGTCCAAATAATAAAAGGCTAATATTCAAATTGACCGAACAGTGGAATGACCAGACACTATGATGCACACTGACCAACATGGGGCAGATGCTCAAAGCAGTTGTCGTCTCCTAGTGGTCAGTGTGCTCCCATAGGGGAGCATTGCTCAGCCAGAAGCTAAGCTCACGGCCAGGAGACTCCCGCCTCCACAGCAGCGCTAAGGATGTCCAAATGATGGCTTAGGCCCGCTCCCCATGGACATCCTCCAAGGGCTTCCAGTCTGCAAGAGGGCACAGGCCAAGCTGAGGGATTCCCCCCCACACCCAAGTACATGAATTTCGTGCACCGGCCCTCTAGTTTAAGAATAAGAGTATCTTATGGATTCCAAGGGCAGAAATTGTAGCTAGTCTTTGAGAAGGATCTGCAATGGAGCCCTCAGGAATCTTTCTGTTATAGCTCCTCTCTTCTTTTTCATAAGTGTTTAATCTTTTCTCCTTTCAGACCAGCCCCCTCTGCTTCATATTCCACATAATAGAAATAGCCCCTGGCAGCTTCTGATGTGTTATGGGTCAGCACATGAAAAGAGTCTGTCTTTCATGTGCTTTATTAACCTTTCTGACTCACACAGCTAGGGAGATGAGGAGAGACAACCAATTAAATTAGGTAGTGGCCAAATTTAAAGTTTTTTAAATTCTACTTATTCAGCAGAGTTAAAGATAGCCATATGTATTGTATGTGAAAAAGCCTAGAGTGGATTTTTGATTTCACTATATTGTATTGCTTCAGTTATGTATGACATTGCTCATGTTAACAGAAAATAATGCATGAGCAGCCAATAGAATAGAAAGTACTTGGTTGTGGGACCATTGGTCCAGTTTTTTATTAATATTTCTTCAGCATGACCAAGGTCTGGTTAGATTTCTGGAGATAGTCTCCCAAACTAGGATTTGTGTATGTTGTAATTTTTCCATTAATTTACACCACTGATTTTTCTCTGGGAATTCACATAATCTCCCTGGATCATAATTTTCACATCTGTCAATATAAGAAATTGCTAGAATATAAGAAAACAGATTATATCCTCAAAGTGAAAAAGTCTTCACTTCCTAGCAGCAGCTTTCTCTTCCCCCATCAGGCTCCTTAGACTCAGTTATTATTGTTAAGCTGTGTTTGTAGATATATTAGTAGAGTTCTTAGTAAATTATTATGTGTAATAATTTGTAAATTCCTTTTGCAGAAAGTTTTAGAGTTCATTTCTCTTGCTCCATTATGTACTTATTCAGATTTCAGAGAATGATAATAGGTCAAGATTTAATATTTAGATATATAAAATTTAATACTTTTATTTTTATATGTCAACATCTTAAAACAAAGAACTGTGATATCTAGATTCATTGAATTATAATTAGAATATTTTGTGTTTTTTGAACTGTAGTTTTTCAAACCAGATAGTTTTTATTATACATTGGATTTTTAGGTGCCTCTGGGATTTAGGCAGACAAGTGATGTAAGGCTTTGGCCTCCTATCTGCACTTCAGCTAGAAGTCTTTTAAAAATATTTCTTTAAGTTCTTCTGTTTGGGGAGAAAACAAAAGTTTAAATATGTAATCTAGCTCATTCATTTACCATTTTACTGTCTACTACATGCTAGACACTCTATATATCGATACAAAGATGGGGTAAGCATTGGTCAGTGGTTTTGTTTTAGCAAAAAATCAAACTGAGAAAGATTTATTTTTAAATTTTGCTTTAGAATTATGCATAATCTCTATAAAGATGCTTATTGCACTAGTGATTTTAATGAAACATGTAAAGACCAGAATTTTGTTAGATCTATATCTTACATCTTTTTTTTCTTGTATAAAGAAATGTTTTCATAATGCTGTGAAATAACTAACATGTTTTACTTTTTAGTCTTTTTTTAAATACTTTTTTCTGTGCTTCTAGAATGAAAGACTAAAGAAACTTTGTTCTGATCTAGAAGAAAAGCATGAAGCCTCTGAGCTTCAAATAAAGCACCAATCTACCAGTTATCGAAATGAACTACAACAGAAAGAGGTAAAGGTTATCACATTTACTTCATACTTACTTCACCGAGCAGTATTGAGGAAGTTTTTAAGAGCTGTAATATAAATCAAGCTGTATTTAGATCCATAAAAATACTGAAAACGTGTTGAAGTTAATAATTACCAATTCAGTTTGTTATTAATTTAATAAGAATTCTGTAAGCTTTTTTTTATTATTATGTTTATGTTACATAAACTAACTTTTGTGGAGTTTAATTTCTGCTTTCCAAAAAGAGGAAAAGTCCTATCTATAGAATTAAAAGCATAATATGCTAATTAGACCAGACAACCTTCTGGAGGAAGCTAGGGCTGGGAGAGAAGTTAAGGTCCCGGGTGCCTGACAGCGGCCGGAGGGAAGGAAGGCCAACTCTTGGACAAATTTCGTGCATGGGGCCTCTAGTATAAAAAAGCTTTAGGCATTTGTTGCTTATAATTTTACATTTTATAAAACTTAATTTCTCATTTATTTACTTAAAATTGTTTGAAATCTGTGATCATTGCTCATTTTAACTACAAGTGTTAATATATGCTATGTTGACATTTACTTGATTTTCCATGGAAAAACAGAATATTAAGTATTTCATAGTTGACTTAGACTGTTCTATAATTTTTTTCTCCTTTAGTTTGATAGGGGTTCATGGCTGCCTGAGCCCACAGCTGCCTGAGCCCCAGGCCTCGCAGCCGCTGTGGCTTTGTCTGGATGGATGTCCAGAAGATGTCTGCCCTAATTAGCATATTACCCTTTTATTAGTATAGATTACCGATGTTATCATGAATCCTTAAAATATGGACTATGTCTCTATGTTTCATTCTGTTGTTGAATTCTCTTTAGTGTTCAGAACATAACTAGGATTCAGTAAGCACTTCTATTGAATAGAACCATATCTTGTTTCATTTTCCAGATCATGTGGGTGTTCTTCATTTTGTTGATTAAATGTTCATTTCTACCATAAATTCTTATTTGGGTTTTTTAAATTTAGATGCGCTGATTTCTAGTTCTTTTAGTGACACATTAAGATGGAAAATTAAAGCAAACCACTTTAAAGATAAATACAACCATTTAAAGAAGAGCTTAATTTCCAGTCTGTTGGGAATTTATTTCATAAAATAGAATAGAATGAATTACTATAAAAATAAATATAAAAAGGCATAACTACAAGTTCAAATTAAAAACCCACCTTATTTTAAAAGGCTCAACAGATATAAAATTACTGTGTCAAATTGCTTTAAAAGTCTTTACCGGTAAAGACTTTTACGGAAAATACGATAAAGCCTTACTCTTTGAGTTTCTGTACTTTTCATGGGCAGGTAGCAAACATTTATGGTATCAGTCCACACACCACTCTTTGAGTAGCACTGACTTACAGATATTACAGTAGTTTACATCCAGGAGTTTATAGCTGAATCATAAGTGACACTTAAAAAATACATAGTTTCATGATTCTAGATTAGCAAACTGGGAAGAGTATTGGTATTTTTTTGAAAATTCATAGGTGGTTTCATTGAAAACACCACTGTGGAAAACTCTGGCATTTTATATTCTACTTAACTATTGATATTAAACACCCAAATTAAGCATTCAAGTTTAGAAATGCCTCTTTGTTATAACTAGAGTTTACACTTATTAACTCTACAACCTGATATAAATGTCTCTTGTATAATGAGAACTTTCTTTGTATTATAGGTACATTTGAAAAATAGTGCATTTTAGTACTCTTTACCAGAATGAAAGATAATACATAAACATACTTTCGCAGAATCTATTTGCTGTCCTCACTGTGATGTTCATATTCCTTAAAGTTGCAATTTGCCTCGTATTGTGTATGGGAAAGTGAATGAAATCTGTGCACTACTATTAAAACCTCCAGTAGAGCAGGAACTCTGATATGCAAAACATGTTTGTTGTGACATTTGACGTAGTTGTGTTTGGTGTTTGTTTGTCTAGTTGGTTGATGTTACACGAGTAGAAATACTATATTATTTGTTGGTTTGTCTTTTCAGTTTTTCTCAATTGCAGAGGGGGTGTCTTCTGGATTAGCTTCAATATTTTAGGGAGCATATTTCAGATCTCTCTAGCTTCTATGTTTTGTCTCAAGTGGATGTGACATTATGGTTAAGTCCTGTGTTCATAATTTCTTTTGGACAATGATACTCTGCTCAGGGTTTTAGAATCTTTATTATGTTATCCCCCTGAGTAGAGTCAAATTTTTACTGGCCTCTTTTTGCCAAGACTAAAGCCAAGCCCTCTGTCAATGCACAATTTCCTTCTATGACTTATGAGCCAGTAACTACAGTCTCACTGTGTTATCTGAAAAGACTGGATTAATAAATCAAAGCATCCTCCTGATAGCAGTGTACAGACCACAACAATATTCCTGATTCATGGTGCATTTTAAGCCTAAATCCAGCCATAACCAGTTAGTAAGACTCTTCCACCAATTGTTCTCAAGAAACTTTCCAATGCATAGGCTGACACAGCTTTTACTTCCTCTGAGGAGTTACCTATCTTACCTGATACATAGAAGCTAGTAAATCCTTGTTTAACTGAGAAATACCATTGCTTTAGTTACCATATGAGTGAAACATTATCTAAATTTTAACTATGATAATTATGTTTGCTTTTAAATAAAAATGTATGGTTGGCATGTTATTAAAAACTTAGATTCAGTTGATAGCATACAATTATTGGATAATGTTAAATTATTATGACTTTTAATTTTATGAATCTGGAATATGGTTATTTTAAAGTACCTTCTCTAAAATACGAATTATAAATATATAGGTGGAAATCAGCCATCTTAAAGCAAGACAGATTGCACTACAGGACCAATTGCTAAAGCTGCAGTCCGCTGCTCAGTCTGTAAATTCAGGAGCTGGCAGTGTGCCCACAACCACTGCATCATCATCATTCAATTATGGCATCAGCCATCCTGCTGCCGCTTTCCACGATGATGACATGGACTTTGGTGATGTAATTTCATCTCAACAAGAAATAAACAGATTGTCAAATGAAATTTCAAGGCTTGAATCTGAAGTTGCACATTGGAGGCATATTGCTCAGGTAGGTAAACTTTTCATGAACTTTTAGAGACTGTTAAGTGAGTAAAAATACAGGTGCTGTGTAGAGATTTCATTATAGAACTATGGACTAGGAAATGGAAACTTGTATTCTAATTCTGCCTATAACTTTCTAAGTGATTTTAATCAGGTCATCTTTCTCTCTCAGCCTCAGTTTCCCCTTCTGCACAATATTGGGAAGAAATTTTCAAAATAAAAGTGGAGTTGCTGTGGTTGAACCAGCATCTTTTTCCCTGGAGTTCCTAAGGCTTTGCTGCTGGAAATCAGGGCTCCAAGGCACGAGATTTGAATCTATTTGCTTAGATATTGTCTGAGGTTTCTGTTTGCATTAATTATATGTCAAATGAAAATCTGATAATTGGCATTATAAATTTTTAAAACTATTCTGTGTTGTTTCTCCTGCATAAGAAATCAAATACTTGCTATTTTGGGCTGTAAACTTTCTTGCTTTTTTGTCTTACATATCAGATTTTATATGTACTACCAAGGCTGTCAGTAGACATGAGATTCAAAATATACTGGGACAAAAAAATATACTGGCATATTGTTCATACAGATTTAATTCATGAGTGTATAAAAAAATGAAGTATCTTCTGTCTTTTTGTCAGTGTAATCTAATTATGTAAAGGAGAAATCCTCCCAATTAAAATTATTTCTTGCTTCCCAAGTTGCTGGACATTTCTAATATTCAAAGAAATCTGGAGAGAATGATCCTTCTGTCCATCTTATCTCTAAAAAGTAGTAATTCTTAAACTTTGTTCATGTAAGAATAACCTGGGGAACTTGGAGATTCCCTGTCCTCCCTTAAGAGATTAGGATTTTGTAGCCTGCTTTGGGGTGTTGAAAATTGCATTCAAATAAATAAATCATCAGGTGATTCTGATAATTTAGTAAAACATTTTAAGAAACATTAGTTAGGGTAAGATTTCATAAAGAGATGGATTTTTTTGTATGTTTACTTAAGCATACTATGACAGACCTGTATTGGGATATAAAGGTGAAAAGGGCATAATTGGGACCATTCAGGAAACTTAATTTTCTAGCAAGGCATAATAAAAGTTAATATTTGTATTATACTTTATAAGATGTTTCCATACATACTACCCCAGTATATGTTATATTATCCTTAATAGGTATGTGAGGAATTTATTCTGTTTCATTGAAGAGCAAAGTAAAAGTTTAAGTAATAAACCCACTATCACAGTGATTAAGTTGTGATTCAAAACATGTCTTTCTACTCCAACCCTAAGTTCTTTCTATTATACTGTGTTCTTTCTTAAAAAAAAAAAAAATTATTTTATTGATTTTTAGAGAGAGAGGAAGGGGAAGAGAGAGAGACATTGATCAGCTGCTTCCTGTACACTCCCTACCAGGGATTAAGCCCTCAACCTGAGTATGTGCCCTGACTAATAATCGAACTGGCAAACTTTCGGTGCACAGGATGACACCAGCCAACTGAGCCACACCAGCCATTGGTTCTGTGTTCACTTTTTTTAGCCAGAGATCAATGTTTGGTTCCTTAACACACTTTATAGTAAATGATAATAGAGGTAAATGAACAAGCTTTGAATAAGAAGAATCCAAGTTATTTTATTTACTTGTCACAACAAAGGTTATTCTATATTGTAGTCTTATGGATGAAATCCTTTTAAAATATTTTTGTTGTTATTATTAGCATTCATTTTAGAAATTACCTTTTAAGACACTGATATAATGTTGGACAAAGTCCTAAAGAATGAGTAAATGACTAGCTCTGCTCATCTGCCAGAAATTTGCATTAGTTCTGCAAAAATGGAAAGGTCCTTTTGCATTTGTGGTAAAAAGTTATACAGAGACTTCTTAATATACATTTTTAAAAATAAGTAGAATATTCTGTGGTGTTTTCCTTATTTTATAAAACTGTACACTTCCTGTACACTCCCCTATTAGTTAACATACTTATAAATGGTATCTTTTTACTTGTGTTTTACTCACTAGTTTTCTTAAAAGATACTTGGCATTTTAAAACCAGAATTTTTCTTGGAAATGACCCATTTTTTAAAAGTATCTTTTAATAAAATTAGTCTGTGATTTTCCTTTTTATAAGAAAATTAATATAATTTTCAAATTCTGTTTTTCTGATCTAGATTTCTAAAGCACAAGGATCAAGCAGCTCTGATCAAAGTGAGATTTGCAAACTGCAAAATATAATTAAGGTAAGGCAGATTGTTGGAACAATGGCTAGTATACATTTAAAATTTGCTTATGAAAATCATAAGCCTAAATTAATAAAAGTTGTAAAAGTAACCATACAAATTATGGTCTTTATTTCTTTTTACCATTTTGTTTCTTCTTTAGTGTTGATGACAAGTCAGGTATATCTCTACACAATCATTTGTTTTGAACATTTATTAAGTAGTTTATATTCTGTGTTTGTTTCCTATTGCATTTCACAAAATGGTCTTTATTAAAATAGAATTCTAAGATTGCTGAAGTTTCAAGGTTTAGGGTTAAAGGATATTGATAAAATAAAATGCTAATGTTATTCATTACAAATAATTATTTTCTTTTAATGGTAGAATTTTGCTAGTTTGGTCAATTTTGGGTTTTATTATTATTACAATACTAGTGTGGGTGGGTTCCTGAGTCAAACCTGTGTTTGAATCCAGGCTCTACTATTTACAAGATGTGCTTCTTTGGGAAACTTCTGTTTTGTTATCAGTAAAGTAGATGTCATCATAATACCTCGTTAGTAGGATTGTTTTGAAATATAAGTGTAAAGCTCTTTGCCTAGTGCTGGGATGTAAGTATTGAGGAATAAAGAATAACTTCACTTGTCTTCTGAGGAAATAGAAGATAATTTATAGATTAGGATTCTTCATCTCTGGCTAAATGAAGCAAAAGAGGATTGATTGATTGGATTGCTTGATTGGAAGGACCCTGGGTAGTTTGTTGATAGGATTGAAGGAAGAGCATTTTGGCCTCCAAAAAGATAGGAATGGGAACAGCATTGAGGATCTAAGTAGTGGGGCACAGTGGATAGATTCTTTAAGGTGCAGCTATCATAATGCTTCTGGCTTAAGCAATTTCCCTTTTTGAGAGACTCAGCCCAAGATCTAGTTTCCTAGCAGAGAGAGTGATGGGCTCAACTTGGGTAGTAGCAAGGCATCTTGGTTGACTGTGAGTCCCAGCAAGACTGGAAGGAAAAACAGCAGGAGAATGGAATAATAGGACAACAGTCATACATTAGCTAGAAGGTTGAGACTGATATTAGTGGAATATCATTAGCAGAAGTTCATGGTCATAGATGCTAAGGAAAAAAGATATTTTTGTTCACTTTGTTTCAGTTTTTCTTATTGGTATGCCCTCATTAAAAGTAGAAAAACTGTTTTTAAGGCTCAAACGAGGAAAGGGTGGGTGGAGTCTCAGAATTGTCCAAATGTTTTTAAATTCTTTTCAGCCTTAATACTTTTGGAGAATTATTTTTAATAATAGAGACTTTTGGGCAAAAATGAAATAGCTTAGATAAGTTCATTGATTATTAAAGTGATTGACTTTGTTTTTATTTTTTTAAGGAACTTAAACAGAACCGAAGTCAGGAAATAGATGATCATCAACATGAAATGTCAGTATTACAGAATGCACATCAACAGAAATTGGCAGAAATAACTCGTCGGCATCGAGAAGAATTAAGTGAATATGAAGAACGAATTGAAGAACTGGAAAATCTGTTACAACAAGGTTATTAATTTAACATATTAGCTGGCATAATTAAATGATAAGCCTAGCACTGTAAGGTCAGGACACTGATGTAAAGTTGGACAAAGTTCTAAAGAATGAGGAAATGACTAGTCTGCTCCTCAGCCAGAAATTTGCACTGGCACTCCTATTGTCATGGTTCTGCAAAAGTGGAAAAATTATAATATATTGCATTGTTTGGTGAATTTTACTTTCTTTTAAATTCAGATACATAGACTTTTTAGTATTTTACTCAAATAATATCTTTCCTCAACTATTTTTAAATGCTTTACTTATTGTAGTTATTTGATTTTTTTTAGACTTGATTTCTTTAGAGCATTTTTAGATTTACAACAATATTGAGAAGGAGGTACAGAGATTTCCTTTATACTCTCTGCCTCCACCCGTACTCCCACCCCTATGCATATACTCTATTACCATCAACTTCACTCAGAAAGATGGCACTTTTGTTTTTTTTGTTTTTTTTTAACCAAGGATAAAACTACATTGACACATCATAGTTGCCCAGAATCCATAGTTTACTTGAGGGTTCATTCTTGGTGTTGTACATTGTATGATTTGGACAAATGTATAATGACATGTATCCATCATTGTAATGATGTCATACAAAGTATGTCGTACAAAGTATTTTTACTGCCCTAAAACTCTGCCTATTCTTCATCCTCTTTTTCCTCTGCAACTGATCTTTTTATTGCCTCCATAGTTTTGTCTATTCTAGAATTGTTATTATAGTTGGAATTGTATAGCCTTTTCAGATTGTCGTCTTTCACTTCTTTCATGTGATCCGGTTGTTATGCAATTGGTTGTTACGCTTCACAATGTAACGACCATTTGCATATTACATTTTTATTATATAGGATTGGTATATTTTTTGTTTTTGACTTTATGTTTATGTTCCAGGTGGCTCAGGAATTGCGGTAACTGATTACCCTAAAATCCATGAGATGCAAAGAACTGTTCAAGTTCTACAAACTGAAAAAGTAGAGTCTACAAAAAAAATAGAAGAACTTGAGAAACAAATAAAAGATATAAGTAAAAAATTATCATCTTCAGAAAATGACAGAGAAGTTTTGAGGAAGGAACAAGAACGACTAAATGTAGAAAACAGGCAAATAAGTGAAGAATGTGAAAGCTTGAAACTGGAATGTAGTAAATTGCAGCCTTATGCTATGAGGCAAAGTGACGCTGTGAAGGAAGAGGAAAGCATTCTTCCACCGAGCACATCACTGGAGGAAGAGGTGTTCAGACTGCAGCAGGCCCTGTCTGGTATAAAATGTTTGGAACCTATTCCTGATTGGTGCTTCATTGCATACTACCCTGTTTCCCCGAAAATAAGACAGTGTCTTATATTAATTTTTTCTCTCAAAGTTGCGCTAGGTCTTATTTTCAGGGGATGTCTTATTTTCGGGGAAACACGGTAGTTGTTTTAGAGACAACTAGCACTTTGTATAGCTGGGTACTTTGTGAAAATGAAATATTTGTGAAAATGACTGGAATTTGAATAGAATTGTTTGGTTTAGATTCAGTGTCATAATAGATTACAAATAGGAATTTTCTACTAAAAAGAGTTAAGTGTTGTTTAGGTGACTCTTAACTTCTGTTCCTCATCTTTTAAGTATTTGCATGAAACTCATTGATTTAGGAGGCCATGTATAGACATTTTTTTGAGGGAGAAGTGGTCCTATTTCTGTTAATTTCTAAAGAACCAAATATTTCCTATAACTTACTAGGGCTCAGACCCTCCAGTTAGGGAATTTAACCTACCTTCTTCAAAATCTTGTGTTACCTTTCCAAATGATCTCCTAAATCTAAGCAAGCCTGAGAATGATAGGACCCATAGGTCTTCCATAGTTGTCCATACTCAAGGTGATATTTAGTTACCACACCAGTGTTCTGTGTTACAAAAAATAAGTATTAAATGAATTAGGCCAAGCAGCAGTACTCTATTCATGCAAGGAAAACAGAACAGGAGCTCTTCAGCTGAAAAGATGCATCTTATTTTCCACTGTGCCTCTTCTCACAATAAACTCTGACTATATGAACTCATTCATTCCTGCTCTGGGGGTTTCTAGCCTTTGTGTGTTTGTGAGTGCCCCTCCTCCCTACGCCCCCCTCGCGCCCTTTCTTCTCCCCACCCTCCCACACACACCATCTAGTTGTTTGTCATGAATTCTTGACCTGGAGTGCCAAGTCTGTAAATTTGAATTTAAGTTAGGTTCAAAGTGAAATCTCCATGTTCTCTCTCCTTTACCTACCTTGGTAATTGCCAGCATTTATCAGTCTCCAAAACAGAAAATTTGAACTTATCCCTTAGAAAGTTCTGTAAGTTCTTAGTACTTCAGTATTGTTTCCCAGATGAGCTGTAGGGTTTCTCATAGGTACTTTAGTCCTGGGAGCTGCCCATGAAGGCAAAGGGAAAGCTGTGCAAGTTAGATTCTGGACATCTTTCTCCTTTGACTTCAAAGTAGCTCAGCTCTTTTGAAAATAAATGTATTTAATGTATTGGGTGACCCTTATGAGTTTATTTGCTTTAAAACAAACTTATTGCCCTAGGCCTGTGGTCAGCAAACTGCAGCTTGCAAACTCATTGCAAGACCCGGTGACTCACAGGCAAGGTCTGCAGTCCTCACAGTTGGTCTTCAGAGGTGGCCTCATGGGGCAGGTCTATATATTGGCTGGAAGAGCCACAGGACAGATGTGCTGGGTAGCATTGCTAGTTGGTGTCTGTCATAGAGAGCACTGCTTGGAGCAGATCCACATGGCAGCAGGCTGGTAATGCTACCAGGTAGATGAGAACATCACTGAACTCCCCTTGAAAGGATTCCACGGAAAGCTCTGTGAGCTCCTCCACGTCCCCAGCCAAGACCAGGAGGAGCTTCTGAGGCTGGTGGACCTGGTCTGTCTCTTTCAGCAGCAAACTACATGGAGGCAGTACATGTTCTCGAGCATGGGCTCCAGGCTGAAGCTGAAGGGGCCAGCAGCATTGGTGCCCTCTCCCCAGGTCCCCAGTCTTCTCCCCACTCACAATGGACATGCACCCACTGCGCTGCAGCCCAGACTGCTCTGAAGAACCCTGTGCCCAGCTTGGAGCCTGTCTCAACAGTTTTGTTTGTTTGTTTGTTTGTTTGCAGCCAGGATGATTTTTCACAAATGCGAAGCAGGTTACATTCCTGACTAGTACTCTGTGGCCCCCTGTGAAACTTCTTGATCAGACAAGTAATATCTTAATGATCTGTTCCTTGTCTGCCTCCTCAGTTTCAACTCTTCCTATTCTATCTTTCTAAGCTTGAGTCATGTTCAGCTTTCTGTATGGCTCCTTAAGCTGGCAATGTTGTCTCTTAGCTCTGTTGCCTTTGCATTTACTGTTTTCTCTGTGTAATGTCTCTTTTCACTCCTTCTTCTTTGTATATTAACATTCAATACCGGTCTTGTATTCACTCTGAGGCATTTGCGCAGCTGCTACCCTGGCCCCACATGCCACCCCACCCCACCCCATTCTTCTGGATTAGGAGTTTGCCCCTGTTTGGCCTAATAGAATCTTGTGCTCCCTGTATCACACTGTACTGTAATCATGTGCTTGCTTTTCTTTTAAAAAAATTTTTATTTTATTGATTTTTTACAGAGAGGAAGGGAGAGGGATAGAAAGTGAGAAACATTGATCAACTGCCTCCTGCACAACCCCTACTGGGGATATGCCCACAACCAAGGTACATGCCTTTGACCGGAATCAAACCTGAGACCCTTCTTTAGTCCGTAGGCTGATACTCTATCCACTGAGCTAAACGGATTAGGGCATGTGCTTACTTTTCTTCCCTTCTGAATTGTAAGCTCCTTAAGAGCTACAAAGACTAAATTTTTCCATTTTGTGGTCTAGCAGCTGACATCATAGTAAATGTACATACAGTATTTCCTATATTGACATTGAATGAATTACTTCAGCTAAAGTCATGGTATTCTGTATTTGTATTCTAAAACCCCTCTGTTTATGTATCTATCCGGAATACCAGATTGAATGGTCTTTTTATTAGTAGTCATGTCTAAGACGCTTGAGAGAATTGATAGATTGTATATTGTTGTATAAATATACATTTGTGTTTTAAGCCCTTCCCCCTCTTGGTCTTAGTCCTTATGCTATTTACTGTTACACACACTAATCAGCTCACTTTGAAACAGTTGTTACTGTTTTTATCAAGGCAATAAATATGACTCACTCAGAATACAATTGTAATTTTTTCTTATATTGTTTCATAGAATTGGATTTTAACATAGTTTATTACTGGCATTTATATTATGGCTTCTTTGGAATAGTCAAAATAAAAATAACAAATAACATATATTTAACTCTGAGGGCTTGCTAATTGTGCTTATAAATATACTTTATTTTAAATGGGTTTCACTTTTGAATTGAATTTTAGGATGGAATTATGAAGTTATTTTAAAGAATTCTAATGTCAGATCCACTGTTTTCACAGATGCTGAAAGTGAAATAGCAAGACTGAGTCATTTAAACCAGGTAAACAAATTTTAAGAGAGAAAGCTTTTATTGGTTTACCCAGAAAAACCATTACAGTTGCTTATTTTGTGTGTGTTTTTAAATATATTTTTATTGATTTCAGAGAGGAAAGAAGAGGGGGAGAAAAAAGAGAGAAAGAAACCGAGAAACATCAAGGATGAGAAAGAATCATTGATCGGCTGCCTCCTGCATAACCCTAACTGGGGATCAAGCACAGAAGCCGGGCATGTGCCCTGACCAGGAATCCAACCATGATCTCCTGGTTCATAGGTCGATGCTCAACCACTGAGTCACACTACGCAGGCTGTTTTTTTGTTTTTTTGTTTGTTTTTAATAAATTCATGTGAATTTATCCTAGGAACTTTTATCTTAGGAATTTTATGCTTGCTGATTAGTAACAAACTTTTTGTATTATAAATTTAAATTGACAATTTAAAATATTCCGTAATTGAAAAGTTATAGTATATCGCTTTGAATATTAATTAGACAAACGTTATATTTGTAGAGACAGATCCTCTACCAAAATGAGAAATGCATTTTGGTTTCCCTTTATGATATTTAAGGAGTTGTTTCTTTTTCTGATGATTATAAGCAATTTTGTAAGTGTATTTGTATATTTTTTCAAATACAATAAAGAAATTCTCTCTACAAATGTTTGTTAAATAAGTATGGGCTTTTTAGATGGTTCAGTGCTGCGTGCTTGTAATTTTTATGCCACTAAAGAAATAAAGAGTACAAATGTACAATAGTATAGCTTGCCTGCTTTCTTATAAACTCAAAATTTCCTGTTATCTGAAAATTGTTTTTAACATGTTTACAGGATAATCTCACTGAAGACAATCTGGAACTTAAAATGCGTGTTCAAGTTTTAGAAAAAGAGAATTCATTATTGGTTCAAGAAAAGGTGGGTGCAATAAAAATGGGGGCAGAATTAAAATGGTATGTATATTATATATTGATCAGGGCTAAGAGCCTGTTTATATCAAAATAAGTGTTTAGTTCTGAAGGTACAGCTGATCTCATCGATGCTTGTCAGGCCAGGTTGAAGTACTGGGCAAGGTTCAGCGTATGAGCCTGGTAGAGTTTCTGTTTAGAGATAAGTCAGTAGGCGTACAGATATGAACAGAAAAGAAAGGTAAAGGTTCTTTGGTTTCAGATGAAGTCCTGACAGCAACATACACAGGTGGGTCAGGAGCCTGGAGTGGCATACTATAGTAACTATATATACTGCTTATATGCCCCAGAATGTGTGTAGTGGATTTTTAAGTGGTGAGGGGTAAATAGGGACATTTTTAAGTGGTGAGGGGTAAATAGGGACATTCTCAGTGGTAGAAATAGGGTCTCTTGTTTATATTGGTAGCAAGGATAGAGTAAGATTTTGTAATGTTATGTTGGGTTTTGTTTATAATTTTTAATCTTTTAGTGTCTCTTCTTCCAATTGATAGTATGTGTTGTGTTTTTCCCCTTTTATCATTTAAGGAAGAGCTTCACTTATCACTTTTAAAATTAAACAATGAATATGAAGAAATTAAAAGTACAACTGTGAGAGACATGGATTTGGATTCAAAAGTACATGACTTAAGACTTAATTTGGAGGCAAAGGAACAAGAGCTCAATCAGAGTATTATCGAAAAGGAAGTACTAATAGCTGAGTTAGAAGAACTGGATAAGCAGAACCAAGAAGCTACAAAGGTAATAAGTACCATATTAAAGACGGTGTGGTAGCACATTCTAGCCAGTAGACTGAACATCAGATTAACAAGCAGGGTGAATGGTGTGATTTAATTTTGTTTTAATATTTTAGTTCATTGATGCTGTAGTCATAGAGGTTGGCAAACTTTTTCTGTAAAGTGTTAGTAAATGTTTTTGGCTCTGCAAGCCCTGTAGTCTAAGTTGTGTCTGCTCAACTCTGTTGTCATTATATGTAAACAAGTGAGCCTGACTGTTTCAATTAAAACTTTATTTATAAAAACAGGTGGAAGGTCTGATTTGCCCCATTGGCTGCTGGTGGGTTGACTCCTGCACAGTGTTTAAAGTTGAAAATAAATAACATATATCTTTTACCTTCTTTAGTTTTAAATTCTAATTTCTAAAATAATTAAATGCTATAAAATATTAGTAATTTTGTTGGTTTTTAAAAAATATTTTATTGATTTTTTTTATAGAGAGGAAGGAAGAGGGATAGAGAGTTAGAAACAACGATGAGAGAGAAACATCCATCAGCTGCCTCCTGCAACCAAGGCACAAGCCCTTGACCGGAATCTAACCTGGACCTTCAGTCCGAAAGCCAACACTCTATCCACTGAGCCAAACCTGTCAGGGCTTTGTTGTTGTTTTTTTTTAAAGAGTTTTAAGGAGGATTAGAGCCTGGCTGGGATGGCTCAATGATTGAGCATTGACCTATGAACCAGGAGGTCACAGTTCGTTTCCCAATCAGGGCACACGCCAGAGTTGTAGGCTCTATCACCAGTGGGAGGCGTGCAGGAGGCAGCCAATCAATGATTCTCATCATTGATGTTTCTGTCTGTCTCTTTCCCTTCCTCTCTCTGAAATCAAAACATTTTTTTCAAAAAAGATTATAAATAGCTGTAACCGGTTTGGCTCAGTAGATAGAGTGTTGGCCTATGGACTGAAAGGTCCCAGGTTCGATTCCAGTCAAGGACATGTACCCAGTTGGGGATGTGCAGGAGGCAGCTGATCGATGTTTCTTTCTCATCGATATTTCTAACTCTATCCCTCTATCTTCCTCTCTGTGAAAAATCAATAAAATATATATATTTTAAAAAGATTAGAAATAACTGAGAATTATTATTCTATTGTATATGACATTTTATAAAATTGCCTTTAGGTACTAAAGTGAGAATGTTTTAAAGTTAATATGCAAATTAAATTTTTTTTTTTTTTTTTTTGCAGCACATGATTTTGATAAAAGATCAGCTATCAAAACAGCAAAATGAGGGAGATAGCATCATCAATAAACTAAAAATAGATCTAAATGATGAAAAAAAGAGAGTTCATCAACTTGAAGATGATAAAATGAACATTACTAAAGAGTTAGACGTACAGAAAGAAAAGTTAATTCAAAGTGAACTGGTCCTAAATGACTTGAATTTAACCAAGCAAGAGCTAGAGGATAAAATAGAAGATTTAGTAGATCAACTGAATAAATCACAAAACAATAATTTAAATATCCAGAAGGAGAACTTTGAGCTTAAGGAACATATTAAACAAAAGGAGGAGGAACTTTCTAGAGTCAGATGTGAATTAACTCAGCCTCTTAATCAAGACTCTAACAGTAATCTTAAGGATGACTTACTTAAAGAAAGAGAAGCTGACATCAGAAACTTAAAGCAAAATCTTTCAGAAGTAGAACAGCTCAATGAAAATTTAAAGAAAGCTTCTTTTGATCTCAAAATGGAAAATGAAAAGTTGGTTTTAGCATGTAAAGACTTAAGACTTCAGTTGGAAGAATCTATTGCTGGTAACAATCAGATTTCTCTAGAAAAAAACACCATTTTGGAGACTCTAAAAACGGAAAAAGGACAGTTAGAAGCAGAGTTATGTCGGGCCGAAGAGAGGCTGTTGGAAGAAGCAAACAAGTACGAGCAGACCATTGAAGAACTGTCAAATGCACGGAACTTGAGTGCCTCTGCTTTACAGCTGGAACATGAGCGCTTAATTAAGCTCAGTCAAGAGAAAGACTTGGAAATCGCAGAACTCAAGAAGAATATTGAGCAGATAGATATTGATCATACAGAGACTAAGAACATTTTGTCATCTAGTTTAGAAGAGAGGAAGCAATTAACACAACTTATAAATGAGAAAGAAGTTTTTATTGAAAGACTTAAAGAGAGAAGTTCAGAGCTCCAGGATGAGTTAGATAAATATACTGAAGCCTTGCGAAAAAATGAAATTTTGAAGCAATCCATAGAGGAGAAAGACAGACATCTTGGATCCATGAAAGAAGAAAACAATCACCTAAAAGAAGAACTGGAACGACTCAGGGAACAGCAGAATCGAGCTGCACCAGTGGCTGAGCCTAAAACCCTTGACTGTATTACGGAACTTGAATCTGAGATATATCAATTGAATATAATAAAGGATAATCTTGAAGAGGAAATAAAACAGCACCGAAAGATAATTGAAGATCAAAACCAGAGTAAAATGCAACTGCTTCAGTCTTTGCAAGAGCGTAAGAAGGAAATGGATGAGTTTAAATACCAGCATGAGCAAATGAATGTCACGCACACCCAACTCGTATTAGAGAAAGATGAGGAAATTAAGACTTTACAAAAAACAATTGAAGAAATCAAAACCCAGTTGCATGAACAAAGGCAGGGTATTCAAACAGAGAATTCTGATATTTTTCAAGAAACAAAAGTTCAGAGCCTTAACATAGAAAATGGAAGTGAAAAGCATGATTTATCTAAAGCTGAAACTGACAGATTAGTTAAAGGAATAAAGGAACGAGAATTAGAGATTAAACTTCTAAATGAAAAAAATATATCTTTAACCAAACAGATTGATCAGCTGTCCAAGGATGAGGTTGGGAAGCTAACTCAAATTATCCAACAGAAAGATTTGGAGATTCAGGCTCTCCACGCTAGAATTTCTTCAGTTTCCTACAATCAGGATATTGTTTACCTTCAACAGCAGCTTCAGGCCTTCGCTATGGAAAGAGAACAAGTATTAGCTGTTTTGAATGAGAAGACTAGGGAAAATAGCCATCTTAAAACAGAATATCACAAAATGATGGATATAGTTGCTGCCAAAGAAGCAGCCCTCCTTAAGCTGCAAGATGAAAATAAGAAAATGTCTACTAAATTTGAAGGTGCTGGCCAAGAAATGTTTCGAGAAACTGTTCAGAATTTATCTCGTATCATTCGAGAAAAAGACATTGAAATAGATGCATTAAGTCAGAAATGTCAGACCTTATTGACAGTTTTACAAACATCCAGCCCCAGCGATGCGGTGGGAGGTGTGAATAGTAATCAGTTTGAGGAGCTTCTACAGGAGCGTGATAAATTAAAACAACAAGTAAAGAAGATGGAAGAGTGGAAGCAGCAGGTGATGACCACAGTACAGAATATGCAACACGAATCAGCCCAGCTTCAGGAAGAACTCCACCAGCTTCAGGCACAAGTGCTGGTTGACAGTGATAATAATTCTAAGTTACAAGTGGACTATACTGGCCTGATCCAAAGCTATGAGCAGAATGAAACCAAACTCAAAATTTTTGGGCACGAACTAGCGCAAGTTCAGCATAGCATAGGGCAGCTTTGCAACACCAAAGATCTTCTTTTAGGAAAACTTGATATTATCTCACCTCAGTTCTCTTCTGGATCATTGCTTGCCTCCCAGTCTTCAGAGTCTCTTACAGCAGCTAAGTGTGAAACATTAAGTGAAGCTCCTCAGCAGGAGATAGAAGAGCTAAGAAAGTTGCTGCAGGAGAAAGATACAGCAATTAGAACTCTCCAGGAAAATAATCACAGACTGTCTAATTCAATCGCTGCCACCTCAGAGCTAGAAAAAAAAGAACACGAACAAACAGATTCCGAAATTAAACAGCTGAAGGAGAAACAAGATGTTTTGCAAAAGTCACTTAAAGAGAAAGACCTCTTGATTAAAGCCAAAAGTGATCAATTACTTTCTATAAATGAAAATTTCACAAACAAGGTGAATGAAAATGAACTTTTAAGGCAGGCAGTAACAAACCTGAAGGAGAGGACATTAAGTTTAGAAATGGACATTTGTAAATTAAAAGAGGAAAATGAAAAAATAGTAGAAAAAACTAGGGAAAAGGAAACAGAATATCAAGCATTACAAGAGACTAATATGAAGTTTTCTATGATGTTGCAAGAAAAAGAGTTTGAGTGCCACTCAATGAAGGAGAAAGCTCTTGCTTTTGAGCATCTACTGAAAGAAAAAGAGGTATGTTCTGGGTGGGGTATTATGTATTGAGGGAAGGAAGTCGGGTAGAGGGGATTTTTTAACTTTACTCCATTGATATTATCTTTGAAGAAGAATATGAATTTGTTCATTTAGAAATACTTATGTTAAGGTGTCGTGTTTTGTTCTAAATAAATATTCTTCAGAGTCATCTGGAAGTTTCTCCCCCAAATTACTAGTTATTTCCAATATTTTTTTAATATTGGGTTAATTTTTTAGAGCCTGTTAAGTAGGAAAGGTTTAGTAATAATATTTTCAGAAAATAGAAATGTGCTACAAGAATATTTTAAGTCAGTGCAGTTTAACCAAATTTTAGTAGCTGCTAGTAATATTAACATTTCATAGGTTTTTGTATGTAAAGAGAAGCTCTATGAAATACATCTCAATCTTTGACAATCTGCAATAGGATATACATTTTACCGTGTGTGTGTGTGTGTGTGTGTGTGTGTGTGTGTGTGTATGTAAGTGTGTAAAACTGAAGTTTCAGGAATTAGAAATTACCCTTACTATGTGTGATTCTGTATTTTAAAAAGTTTGACATGCTTGCATTAAATTGACTTTTATGAATCAGCCACAACGTAGGCTTTCAAAGCTGTTAGCCATGAGTAGTGCTTTTCACATAGTAGGCTCAATAAATATCCTAATCCCAGCTCTGTCACTAGTGTGACTTTGGCTATGTTTTGACCTTACTGGTTTATTCAATAATAAAATGGAGGGTTGTAGCAGTTATATATGTAAAGCATCAGTAGCTTTTGATTATATTTAAATTTTTGCATGCAGTTGATTTTGATTTTAATAAGAATGTATTGAAGACCTTCTACATCATACTATGATAGATGTTGTGTAGGGCTTTTTGGTAGTGTTTATTACTCTGATTTCTATATTTTCAGTGGTAGAAGTTTGGAAAAGAAATGGGACTATTCGGCTAGTGCTTCTTGAGCATTTATGTACTGCCAGGCACAAGATACAAAATGATTTAACTTCTTTTACCAGTTAGGTTCTTTCTTAGAATCCTAGATTAAGGTTTGGGAAATGCTTGATGTAGTTTTCACTTTAGTAAGAAAAGCCTTGTTTAATATTCCCCTTCTTTGCCATTTGATTAAGTAGGTACACTTAACAGTGTTGAAGTGTTCTCCCTTACATATAACGTCTTAGCTTCTTGTGGTGCTGGGCTGGAATTGGTATGAAAAAGACTCTTGAGAGCAGAAGCTTTCTATTGCTCACTAAACAAAATTGGGTGTAGTGTCTTAGGGCTGATACCTAACTATAAATAGACCCATTAGGTATGCAGATTTAAAACAGGCTATAAATAGCCAGTCACTTCTTTGTGTTTTCTAGAATTGCAGCTATCACCTTAATTTCATGGCCGAATTTTTATTTTTTATGTTTGTTTTTTTTATTGATTTCAGAGAGAGAAAAAGAGTGGGAGAGAGAGATAGAAACATCAATAATGAGAGAGAATCATTGATTGGCTGTGTCCTGCACGCCCCTTACTAGGGGGATCAAGCCTACAACTCCAGGCTTGGGCCCTGACTGGGAATTAAACCATGACTTCCTGGTTCACAGGTTGATGCTCAACCACTGAGCCACACCTGCCAGGCTCATGGCCCTATTTTTGTAATGGTTATTTTTTTTTCCTCCTGCTGTTTTTAATATATTGTATTTGTATGGAATGTAATCATTCCTTTTCCTAACCATTCTAGCAAGCTATCATTCCAAAATTGCTTTCTTTCATTAAATTGTTGCCAAAATATTCTTTAGAATTAGATTGTACATATAAAATGACTTCCCTAGCCCATCCGGTATATTCAGTGGTTGAGCGTCGACCTATGAACCAGTAAGTCAGAGTTTGATTCCCGGTCAGGGCACATGCTCATATTGTAGGCTCAATCCCCAGTGTGGGGCCTGCAGGAGGCAACCGATCAATGATTCTCTCTCATCATTGATGTTTCTATCTCTCTCTTCCTCTCTTCTTCTTTCTGAAATGAATAAAAAGATATATATTAAAAAATAATAATAATAAATAAAATGACTTCCCTATTTCTCCTCTGCCAGCATCTTGATACTTACTTTCTCCAGCAACAATTGTGAATGCCTGATGAATGGACACACACACACACACACACACACACACACGTGAGCAAACACTTTTTTTGAGTGATTTGGGGTTTGTGAACATTGTTGTTTAGGGTAGATTTGAAGAGACTGTGTCTTTTGAGTTCTTTTTGCATATATCTAATAAACTTTTTCTTTAAGAATCATTTTAGATTATTAGAAAAGTTGCAAAGATAGTACAGAATTCCCATATACCTCACGCCCAATTTTCCCTTATTTTTAACATCTTACATTACTATGGTACACTTGTAACAGCAGTGAACTAATATTGATATATTACTGTTAACTAAAGTTCACACTTTAGCCAGCTGGAGGGAGTTAATGGAAGAAAAAGGAGACATGTGTAATACTTTCAACAATAAAGATTTTAATAAATAAATTCACACCTTATTTGAATTTCCTTAACTTTTAACAAACGCCCTCTCCTGCTTCAGGATGCCATCCAGGGTACCACGTGAGTCCTTAGGCTCCTTTAGACTGACAGCTCCTCAGACTTCCCTTTTTTGATCTTCACATGGATAACTATATTTTAAAATTAATTAATGAAGAAATGTCTTTCTTAAATGTATTTTTATTTAAAGCTAAAGTTATTTCTTTCCTAAAGGGCGAGACAGGGGAGTTAAATCAGCTTTTAAATACGGTTAAGTCAATGCAGGAGAAGACGGTTACATTTCAACAGGAGAGAGATCAAGTCATGTTTGCCCTGAAACAGAAACAGATGGAAAACACTGCTCTGCAGAATGAGGTATTCTTTCACTTTAAACCAACAGAGATTCAAACACCAAGTTTAATAATTATGAAGAAAACTGTCAACATTAGCATTTAAAATGAATTTCTCTCATTGGCAGTTTTTTGCTTATTCTTGCTCTAATGTGCTATGGTAGGATTTTGATCTCCTAGAATGCATTTTGCTTCAGTTCTCAAAAGTGAAAATCGTGATCTAATCATGTTGTACATCTGAAATTAAATTATACCTTGATTTTTTTAAAATAAAAAAGTGAAAACAAAGGCATATCTTGGATATAAGAAAAAATTTCCCATCATAAAATATGGAAAAAATGAGATTTACTGAAAAAGTAGTCTGTGACAAAAATTTAATCTTTGTGTAATTCCATTTACTATCATAGCCAACAGGCATGAGGTCTTACAAAAGAAACCTTCCACATGAATATTCAGGATCATTTCAGGAGTCTTTTTTCCTAGCATAAATACATCTTGCAGTATGAGAAAATAATATACAGTTAATACACTTCAGTAATTGGAGGGAAATTTGATAACAGGTAGTGGCTTGTGGAGGGGGAGGGAGCATTTTATAGAAGAAAAATAAAGAAATGTCCTCTATCTAGGTTCAACATTTACGTGACAAAGAATTACGCTTAAACCAGGAACTAGAGAGATTGCGTAACCATCTTTTAGAAACGGAAGATTCTTACACCCGTGAAGCTTTGGCTGCGGAAGATAGAGAGGCTAATCTAAGAAAGAAAGTCACAGCATTGGAGGAAAAGCTAGTTTCATCCTCTAGTGCAATGGAAAATGCAAGGTAACTTTCTCTCTTTTTTTAGTCTTACTATTAACAAATCTTGATTATAATACCCAATAGCATTTTTCATATTTTGCCTTATTTTTTTTCTTATAAGATTTATTTTGTCTATTTTATAGATGAAGAAACTTAGAGAAAAGAGGTTTAGTAACCTTTCTGAGGTCAGGCAGTGTGTGTGGGGTCTAACTCTTAACTAGATCTGGCATTCAAAGTGAGGTTTCTTGGAATCTTAACCATTACCTAAATAATTGCTTCTCATCATTTAGGAGTTTAGGCTTAAATCCCAACTGATTCATTTAGTTTTCAAGCTTCTAAAGGACTAATTTAATTAAATTTGTGTGATTTATTTTTAATCAAATGATCTGAGGTTGAACAAGGTTTGGCTCTAAAAGGGAGTAAAGGAAGTAGCAAGGTGAAGAATTAAACTGGGTCAGTAAGAATTAACTCTTGGTTTCTTAGGACTTTGGAAAAACCAGGCGGATGGATGGATGGATGGATGGATGGATGGATGGATGGATGGATGGATAGATAGATAGATAGATAGATAGATAGATAGATTTGATTAAGTACGTATGTGTCCTTATCTCCCCATTGCCCCTCCCCACACTCATGCCTTTTTTTCTCTCATTAAAACTAGTCTCTGCCCCCTTTTATTTACCCTTCATAATTGCCAGAATAGCCTTCATTGAGTAGATGATCTTGTTACTCTTTTTTCCAAAATCAGTAGTCTTATTTCTCACTATCATCTACATTATCCAAACTTTATCATTCAGTTATTCAGATACAGCTATTTTTCTATTTCTTTCTACTTTTTATGTTCTTTCTTCTACCTGAAATTGGGCCTGATCCTAAGTTTTTCTGTCAATCCCACATGTTCTTCAAATAGCATTTTCTTCTTAAAGAATGCTTTATTTTCCACCCCACTCCTCAAACCCAAAACCAAACCCTGGTGTGATACTATTTCCTTTCAACCCAAATAGTAATTTGAGTCTTTTTTAAAAAAAATATATTTTATTGATTTTGTACAGAGAAGAAGGGAGAGAGATAGAGAGTTAGAATCATCGATGAGAGAAAGTCATGGATCAGCTGCCTCTTGCACACCTCCTACTGGGGATATGCCCACAACCAAGGTACATGCCCTTGACCGGGATCGAACCCAGGACCTTCCAGTCCCCAAGCCGACGCTCTATCTCTATCCGTTGAGCCAAACCGGTTTCGGCAGTAATTTGAGTCTTGATAGGGCACTTCTGTTATACTTTAGAGTACAGGTAATGTTGACTTATCTTATACTTTCTCCCACCCAAATAGAATGTAAGGTTACCAAGGGTAGGAATGATGTCATTTATTTTGTACCCTTCCCACAAACATATGTACTTACACATAGTTTAATAGATGTTCATTAAATATTTTTATATAAGTAATTCAGATCTACAAACCTACCTAACAACAGTAACATGTGGTAATCTGTTAAACTCTTGTCTTTACTATCTTAGAGTGATTTTCTAACCAGCAAAATTGAATACAACTCAGGGACATCTAAGGGCAGTTGTCTCCTGTTTATCAATGTACTGCTCTTTCCACAAGAGGGTGCTACTGGGTAAAGTTTCTTCAGAGTAGCTGCTCTAAAAGGACTTTGACGGGCTTCTCGAGTAAGAATTTAACTGGATATTAAAAACCCAAGAAAGACTATTACAATATTTTGTATATAATAATTATACATTAAGGAAGTACATCAATGACATAAGCTTGGATAGGTGCTATGTAAATCTCTTAGGGGACTCTAATTTATCTTTTGGGGCAGTTGTAGAGGTTATTTAATACACAGAAAGATGATGGTAAAAGATAATTAACTAGTAAACAGATCAGTTAATCTATGGGCTCACCTTAGGAAAGCTGTGACTTCATCATGACTTCACATATTAACAGCATGAGGTATCATAGAATCATTGCTCATTAGATTGGAAGCTGGACAAAATGCCTTCCAACGGCCCTTAGAACTTAGAATTTTATGATAAATTACATCATAGAGTTGCTTTTTTTTTTTATTTAATTTTCCTCGTGGTGACAGTTCTTATTTACGCAATGTTGTCTGTAAAATTGATTGCCATTTAGAGTCACTTTCACAAGAAGGATGGTTAAAAACAGGGAGAACAAAGATCAGAGGCATTCTTCAAGTTTCTTTAATGCAATAAAAGATAGGTCACATTCATGGAGACAGAAAGTAGAATTATGGTTGCTGGGGAATAGGGAGTTGTTTAATGTGTGTGGTGTTTGGCTTGGTAAGATGAAAAAGTTCTGGAGATGAATGGTGGTTGGTGATGGTTATACAATAATGTGAATGCACTTACTGGTAGTGCCACTGAACTCTACACTTAAAAATGATTAAAATGGTAAATATTATATATATTTTACCAAAATAAAAAAAGTAGGAATGAGACTTCGTTTTGTTTAAGTTATCTAAATACTATGAAGTCTAATTTGCATTTTTCCCACCAAAATGTACTGAAAATGTTTCAGCTTGTAAAGAACCTAAATAGAAACAGTTTGACTTTTATTCTTTTTTATTTGAAGCCATCAGGCCAATTTGCAGGTAGAGTCATTGCAGGAACAATTGAATGTAGTCTCCAAGCAAAGGGATGAGACTGCCCTGCAGCTTTCCATGTCTCGGGAACAAGTAAAGCAGTATGCTCTGTCACTCTCCAACCTGCAGATGGTACTAGAGCATTTCCAGCAAGGTGAGTAGTATGGTTAGTCTCTCACTGAAGAAAAATTATCCTAGTTATTGGGAATTATGGCTTATTTCAGTGCCATTTTAGATTAGGCCTGGGGATATGGATATCTTTGAAAGGTTACCCACTAGTTGGGAGGGAAGATAAGTAGCCATCAACAAGTTAATTTAGACTGCTTTTATAATTAAGACTAGAGAACATAAACTATATATAGTAATTATTAAAATTTATTTTAGTACGTTATGAGCTATTAAGGTTAGTGTTGGGTAACTAACTGTAAGTGTAACAAAGAAAGGATGATCACGCAATAATGAGGGGGATACAAAGGAAGAGAGAGCACTGGTAGAAAAGATGGCTAGGTTTTTAAGGTATCGGTTGGAGGTTGAATCCACTTCAAAGAGTTAATCATCACTAACTGCTGTCCTTTGAAATATTGATGAGCCTATTCTTAGCTCTTCATCTATACTTTGAGGTAATTATGTTTTCTAGTCCTGGTGGAAAATAGTTTTTGGAGACACAATAATGGCTGGAGCAGTTTTACCCTGATAACTGAATATGCTTTCTCACATCTATCTCCCATCCTCCAATTTACCCCCTTAGATCATTCACTCATCCATTTTATTCATACATTCAGTAATTGCTGGCAATGAATTAACTGCTAGTGAGGGCAAGTGGGTGATTAGGGGATATGAGGCTAATGAAGCAACAGAGTTCTAGTTTTGTGCCTTAGTCATACTTTAAATTTGTACATATTTAGGCCTTCAGGGTTACTCATGGTTGAAATGAATTTTAAACATAAGATTTTAGATCTACTCTATATAATACTAAACGGAACATGTGTACAAAGTATATGGTACTGGGGCTATAGGAAAAGCTTTGCCAAAGAGGAAATATTTGGGTGGAGTTCTGGAGTGGGGGAAGAGTTTGCAAGATGGACAAGCTGGAGAAGCAGTTAGGCGGAGGAAACTGATTTCATTACCTTAATTCCATTAACCCTATCACTAAGGCACGTATAATTGTTGAGACATATGAAATGTTTTTGTTGAATTTTTAAAATTTCTAGTGGTTTAAAATTCTAATTTTATTGCACAATTGCAAAATACTATGTAACTTTTTTCCTCTTTAGAGGAAAAAGCTATGTATTCTGCTGAACTAGAAAAGCACAAACAGCTTGGAGCTGAATGGAAGAAAAAGGCAGAAAATTTGGAAGGAAAACTGATATCAGTACAGGTTGGTTGAAAAATTGCCCTTGAAAATATTATTTTTTATGATGCAATTTGTGTTATCCCATTAGATTTTTCTTTTGCAGAATAATCCTTTAAAATATTTTTATCTTTATTATTATGCTATATTTCATATATACAAAAATCATAACTGAGATAATGCCCTTGTCCAGAATTGAGCCCACAGCCCTTTAGTCTGCAGTCGATGCTCTATACACTGAGCCAAACCAGCTGGGGCTACCTGCTGCTTTTTAATGAACTTTTCTTCTTTAGGAACGTTTGGATGAAGCAAATGCTGCATTGGATTCAGCATCAAGACTCACAGAGCAATTAGATTTAAAGGAAGAACAAATTGAACAACTTAAAAAACAAAGTAGGTTTTTTCTCTTCTTTTCCTTTTTTTCTTTTTCCTACAAACTAGTATTGAATTAGTTGTAACCTCCTGTGCATTGGTACAGTTGAGTGAGACCAACTTCCGTAGTTGTTTGGCTTCCATTTCCATCTCCCATTAACCAATTTGCTTCCATTTGAATATGGTCCTAGTGAAATCAGACTCATAAATTGGCCTTGGCTGTCCAGTTAGTTTTCTTTGGTATTGAGGCAGTGCAGTTGTGTGGGCTTGACTCTGTTGACCATCAAGGGGGTTAATTTGATTTACCTGATTTTTATGTTTATGTCTTCTCCCTAATCAGTCCTACTTAAGAATAGCTTAAAGGAAATTAAAGCCATCATACTTAAAGCCATCTGATGTGTTAGAGAGTGCAATATCGTCAAGTGAAAGTAACTTTTTGTGTAATGAATGTCTGGGCATAAATAACTTTTTATGATTATAGATGGTGCTTTACATAACGGCCACTCATGTATTTTTTGATGCTTATAAGGTTTCTCTTAAGCCTTGTCAGTTCACTATGTTGAGTGCTGTACTTAGGAATATTAATTGGATCTCAGAAAATCAGTTGGTTCTCAAGTGCTTTGTTGAATCTAACATCTGACAAGGATGGCATGTGCTCATTTAATCTCTGCTTAAAAATCCTCAAGTAGGGCTGCATTTAGTAGGTAACAATGGAAGATTGTCTAAAGGTGATAAAGGGATCTAGAAATGCAGCAACTTAAGTTGTCTGGGGTAGTCATAGTAGCACCATAGCACAGAATGAACTTTTCCCTTGGTCAAAATTCATGTACCACCTAAAATAAAATAGAAATTAGAAACAGGAAGAACTAGAAGGTGGCACAGCAGAGATACTATCAGACAACAGAAACAGGACTTGGAGGCTAAAGAGGCAAGCAGACAAGAACCCCTGAAACATGGATACCAAACGACAAGCCAGAGTAAGTGGGCCTACATCCAGCAGGAGTCAGGAGATAAGAGGTTTTTAGGAATTCATAAAATTATAAGGTAGATCAAGTGAGGTCATTTCTGTCGAAATAACTTCATTCGGAGGCAGATTAGTGGCCAACTACAAGTCCTCCGTTCACTTTGAAGGACTTGGCTAGTCTGGGAATTCTAAATGCTTCAGAGGGCCTGGAAGCTGGCAGCAAGCACACAGTTTTATATTGAGCACCATGGACATTTTCTATAACATTTACTGTATAAAGTCTTCTTTTACTCTGCACAGCAACTTTAAAGTAGGTAGTACTATTATAGTTCCATTTTATAAGTTAAAGAAACTGAAATTTGGACTCTGATGCTTTACTTTTGGCCAAAGTTCATGTTATGTCTTTTCTTCCTGTCAGGAAAATGGCTTTTTATAGACTGACTTACATTTGTTCTGTATATCTCCATCCCCTTTGAAGGAGGACAGTATCCTCAATGTTGAAATGGTTGCTCTTATCTGGAGACAGAATTTATTGGGAAAATTAGATTGAAGGCTAGTGTAGCTGCAGCATTATCGGGAAGACATGAGTAACTCAGAGGGAATTGCTATCTTAGGGCAGGGCTAACTAATGGAGGTGAAAAGCAGTATTCTGTCACTCCTCAGTTGGTGACAGCTCAGTGTTTTATGTCATGTTGTTAGAATGTCTGAAACCACATCCCCTTTCAGACATCTACCTGAGTTATTCTTATCATAGTAGATAAATATCAGAATTCCTACACTACTTAGTACTTACTCAGGCATCCATTTAAGCACTCAGTAGTAGATTTTCAGATTTTGGTTATAAATGACAAGACTTAAGTGGCCTAAGTCCCTATTCATGTAAAAAATTTACAATTAATATTCATTGTAAATGAATAGTACCTTTGGACTTACTTTGTGGAGTCAATATTAGCTATAGAAAAAGCCCTAATTATGCTTATACAACTGATATTTGAAAGGCAGGCAAAAGGCCAGTACTGCATAGACAGGAAGTAGGGGGTAGAGAGAGTTCTCTTATGCCTTTAAGCTATTCTTGCCATTTACACTCTTCTTAACATTATGTTTTCTTTTATTACCTAAGTACTTGATATTGCTTTTATATCTCTAAACCCAAATGTGATTTTATTTTCTCAAAGCTACACTCTTGATTTGATAATATAAATAAAACTTTGATTGGCTTGGTTGTTTCAAAAGAATCATTGTATATTTTCTTTCACAGATCATTAAGTACTTTAAATGTTGATTGATGTTGTAATACTGTACTTTATTTTTAACACAAAACTTGGCCAGACAGCAAAAATATTTGCCAGGAGAAACAAGTTTGAAAAGGACAGATTGGCTTTTGTTGCAAGAAGGTACATAGAGACTTGAATCGTAGAGGCAAAGTATTGTTTTATTTCTAAGCGTATGTGGACTGATGATTAGTTGATATGCAGTTTCAACATTTAAACAATATTAGGAAACTCATTTTAAAAAGTGATATTTTATTCAAAATGCTGATTATGTCATTGCTATCAGAAATGAGATGATAAGTCTTGTTAAACATGAAAAGGGAGCTATTGTATATAATACCAGGATTAAAACAGTAATTGTTGATGATTTCTATCATTCTTAGAATACGTAATTGTTAGTGCCATGTACGTGTAACTGTGCTTGTGAGTTTAGGCTCTGGGTGGAAAGTATGAAGATGCCTTATCAGGCATTAAATACTTAATGACAACCAACTACTAGGCTTCATTTTTGATGCTATGTGAGAAACTAGATAGGATTCCTTTTTTCAAGGAAGTGACACAGAGCACAGGTACATCATAGGTTCATAATTTCAGACAATGATGTACAACAGTGTTCTTCAGACAGTGCATATTTAGTTCCTAGAGAACCCCATTAAGGGGCAGGAATATTCCATGGGAAGGAGCTTGAGCAGAGCCCCAAACCCTTCTAGGACTTTCACCTTGACAGTGTGCAAACTTCTCTCTCGTCCCCTACCCCCTAAGAGAAAGTAACAATACAAGAAAATCCTAAGTTGATAGAGGTGCTGCTGTACTTTAATAGATATTGTTGGCTTATCGAAGAATTAGTGCATTCCTTCCTTTTAGAAGTTATTCTTGCAACATTTTGCCAGAAAATATTCTTTTTCTATTATTTTTTTCCTTCCTCCTCTCTCTATTTCCCTCCCTCCCTCACTTCTTTCCTTCCCCCCCCCGTTTTTCTTTTTTGTTAATCATCACTCAAGGATATTTTTCCATTCGAAGAGAGGAGAGAAACAGAGAGAAACATTGATGTGAGAGACACATCAATTGGTTGCCTCCCACACATGCCTCTAAATGGGGCAGGGATCAAGCCTGCAACCAAGGTACATACTTTTGACCAGAATTGAACCTGGGTATCAGTGCTCTTATCCACTGAGCCAAACTGGCTAGGGCTGAAAGTGTTCTTTTTCAATATAGTTCCAAAGACTTAATTCACATGTCACCCTATTTTTTAATTGATTTTTTTTTTTTAATGAAACAAGTAGGTCAGTACCACTCATTAATTCTTCTGAGTTGATCAGAGTTCATAATTTCCATGAAATTGTTATTCATGAGAAAACACACACCTATGTAAACCTACCCTGTTTCCCCGAAAATAAGACAGTGTCTTATATATATTAATTTTTGCTCCCAAAGATGCGCTAGGTCTTATTTTCAGGGGATGTCTTATTTTTCCATGAAGAAGAATACGGTGCACATTTATTGTTAAATGAAAATAAAGGAAATTTATTACCTGTATACAGTACGGTAATACGGTAATTGTCAACACAAACCAGACAAACTGTGAATCCTACAGTATCAAGAATTTACTCATTTATTCAGTGACAATCATGTCATCATCTTCTGGAACATCATCATAACAATCCAATTCCTGAATTTCCTGGTGAATTTCTTGTAACCCCATTTCTTTCAGAATCAGTGGACCAAATCTCTCATGTTTAGCTTAGGGGTGGCCTTATTTTCGGGGGGATGCCTTATATTTCACTCAGAAGGAAACCTGTAAGTAGGTCTTATTTTCGGAGGATATCTTATTTTGGGGGAAACACGGTAGACTACAGTGGAACCATTGAAAGAAGTGTTATCTTGCTGGGTCTATGGCCAGCTTGGATGTTTTTCTTTTTCTTCTTTCACATCTTCTTCTATACCATCATTCTTAAAATAAATTCCTGCTGAAATGAAGAAGATAGAATAAATTTGAAATGGAAAGAACAAAATAGTTTTTGTTTTAATAACTATTATTCAAAATGGTGATGAATTTTATGGTACACAAAGAAAAATAAGTTTTCATAAACAGTGCAAGTTTAGATTCTAGCATTGGGAAAATCTTTTAGCCTGACTGCTAGTTTATACCCTTATTTTAAAGGGCTCCATTACTGGTTGTTGTTTTTGTTGTTGTTGTTGTTGTTTTAGGGAATGTTTGGTCACTGCTTTTAAAAAAAAGTCTTCTATGAGTTGAGAATGGAAAATTGCCTTAGTGTGTTTTGTTTTGTTTTTAAAGAAAATCTAGAATGTAAAAATGAGACCCAGTAAGCCTGCTATAGAATGAAGTATAAAAACATGAGTTAAAACTACAAGTATAAGAGAAGTTTACAGTATTTTTTATGGAACTACGTTTTGGGTGCTGGATGGCAGAGTTTTTATTTTAAATAAAGACATTCCATTTTCCAGGACATGATTTATATAAGAAAACATATAATGTCCTGTTGAACATAGGCCAAATACATTCCCAGACGCTTTGTTACCCAAACCTTTTGAGGGATTTCTTTATAGATGTTTTTGGCAGAAGTGGTGATTTTAGAGGAAACATATAAGAAATACCAGATGCAGTTTTCTGAATTGCCATAAATGGTTAAAAAAGTAATTTATGACGATATAAACATCTGGGTATACACTACACAATGCCAAAATTTTAGTTGTGAAAAAAAGTTTATATCAGTTAGATAAATAATTCAGTCCTTTTCAATTTAATGGTTATATTTTTACATGTG